CTATTTTATAGCTTTTTGTTGATGTAGTTTAGCTTTTGAATTTTTACCAGTTTTTCCTGCAGCTGTGATGTCTGTACAGCACTTTGGTCGACCCCGGTTCCATCCATCCATTATCAATACCGCTTATTCCCTGATGGGTCGACCCCGGTTGTTTATTGCTATTTTATATGCTATTCTATTGCTTTGTGTTGATGTATTTTACATGTATTTTAGCTTTTTTAGTTTTTACCTTATTGCCTGCAACTGTGATGTCTGTACAGCACTTTGGTCGACCCCGGTTGTTTATTGCTATGTTATTGCTATTTTATGTGCTATTTTATTGCTTTGTGTTGATGTATTTTAGCTGTATTTTAGCTTTTTTTAGTTTTTACCTTATTTCCTGCATCTGTGATATCTGGACAGGTGTTTGGTCGACCCCGGTTGTTTTAAACGTGCTAAAGTTTGAGTTGAGTTGAGGTATTTAATCAAAGGTTCTGACTCAGATCTCTCCGTGTGTCTCAGGTGGAGGAGGAAAGAGGAACGGCCGAAGCAAGAAATGGAAGGAGATGCTGAAGCTGCCGCACATCAGCCAGTGTGAGGAGCTGCGCCGCTCCATTGGTGAGGGTGTGTGTGTGTGTGTCTGTGTGTGTGTGTGTGTGGGGGGGGGGTTAGCCGGCCACGCCCGGGCGCTGGGCGGACCCCACTGTGGGGAGGAAGTTCAGATTGGACTTCCTTCCTGTTTCTACCCGTCTCCACCCGCATTTACAGGCAGGGGACAGGAAACGGCGTGTGTGTGTGTGTGTGTGTTTGTGTGTGTGTGTGTCTGTGTGTGTATCTGTGTGTGTGTGTCTGTATGTATCTGTGTTTGTGTGTCTGTGTGTGTGTATCTCTGTGTGTGTGTGTTTGTGTTTGTGTCTGTGTCTGTGTGTGTGTCTGTGTGTGTCTGTACCTGTGTGTGTGTTTCTCTGTGTCTCTGTGTGTCTGTGTGTGTGTCTGTGTCTGTGTGTGTCTGTCTGTCTGTATGTGTGTGTGTGTGTATCTGTCTGTGTGTATCTGTGTGTGTGTGTGTGTGTCTGTGTGTGTGCCTGTCTGTCTGTCTGTGTGTGTGTCTGAGTGTGTGTGTGTGTGTCTGTGTCTGTGTGTGTATGTCTGTGTGTGTGTGTGTGTGTATCTGTGTCTGTGTGTATCTGTGTGTGTGACCCAGGCAGGGAAACCGTTTGGGCTGTTTCTTTTTCTTTTTTTCCTCTTTCTTCTTACGTCACTCGGGCGTCTGCTCAGCCACTGAATCAAAGCGGCCGCTTCCTTCCTGCTCTCAGCATCCAGGTTCAGCCTCAGAGCGAAACCCGGTCGGTTCCTCACCCCGAATGCCACGGCTCGAGTGTGTGAAGTGTGTGAAATGTGTGCGCGATAGTGCGTCAGAGCTATCTCTGCCAGAGATTGCAGAGCTGCCCTCCCCCAAACACACACACACACACACACACACACACACACACACACACACAC